ATACAGATACAGATACAGATACAGATACAGATACAGATACAGATACAGATACAGTTACAGATATCAAGACATTCTCATATAAAGATGAAGACATAAATAAAATTAGAGTAGGTCCTAGGATGGGGCTCCTCCATAAACTCCACTCGACTGTTAACCAAAACCCAAGTTAACCAGGGTCTTAAGTTGAACAATTAAATGTTGGCAAGACTTTCGTAAACGGCGCGATAATTTGCCGCTTGCCTTGCCCACTCCAGAGCCTAGTCAACACCCGAAGCTGTTGCCAGCACCTGCTCCATTCCCAGCCTCCAGCTCCAAGCTCCCATTCTCCTGCTCGCAATTCACAGTTCGCGGCCAAGGCGGAGATCAAACGTCAGGTTAGATGAAAGCTTGTGGAATTTATGTAACTAATACTTGGGCCTGAGACACGCGCATTACTTTCAATTCGGCTGTAAGCCGGGCCGGGCCGCGCCGGGCCGGGCCGGTCCTTTTCTCTTGCGCTGGTTAACAAGATAAATGCAATTTTAACAGTGGCAAGGACAACAGTCGTAAGCCCATTGATTAATTTGAAATTTATGAAGCGCTCGTAACTTTTGCTTCACGCTCGTCCTCGTCCCCTGAACATATTCATTTTAATTAAACGTCGCACCGGCACAAGTCGAAGCTGCGACTAAGATGCATACTTGACAATTTTGCGTTAATCCCGGTCACAGACCGATCCCAGTGGCCCATAATCGTAAACATTGAGCGTGCGCAAAACTGGGCATAAATATCATTTGAATAACATCCGGTTAGGTGGGAGGCAGAGACGAGAGCCGAGCGCCGGTAGCCGGTAGCCGGTAGAGCCAGAACGGAACTCGTACAGAATTTTTGGACTTGGCCACATTCGAACATGCAACTTAATTACGCGTGCCAAGCCAAGCGGCTTTTGCTATTATCATTTAGTCAGCCGGTCGGCTGCCCCTACCCCGACCCACACCGACCCGGCCTTCGACTGCCTTACCCCACCGCGCCAGAGTTACGTTGATGATAATGTTTTGGACGAGGCATTGGCTGCGCTTAATGAATTTATTTGTTACGCATGGCGTAGTTTGAATTGGCGTCCACACACACAAACACACACAGAAACACAGAGAGAGAGAGAGAGACTCACAGCCTCTGAGCGAGAGGGTCCTTCATTGTCCTGCATGGCCTTAATGAAATCCATTATTACGAAAGCCATTTCCATTCCATTCACACACACACACACACACACACACACACCGTGAAATACTCTGGCACAAAGTAAATACACTTATTACGCAAAAGTGTTGTGCGCAGAGACCTGACTACCCCTGCTCACAATGGGCTACCCCCTGCTTCCTGCCAGGAGGGCCCAGGGCCACAATGCGCAAAATGCGAAAGGCATAAAACGCAGCAGGAGCCACTGTACATAATGCCAGGCGCCGAGGGTTAGCGTTAAATATATATCCATGCTAAATAATTTCTGTGTCGACTGCGAACCGATATGGATGATGATGATAGCCGAGTGCGAAGCGTCGCCTCGGTCCAAACCGGCGTCAATTGCCACCGTTTTAGAGATGCAAATAGCACACGCCCTTTGACAGCAATTGTTTTCGATAAGTGAGGAGGCAGGGGCAGGGCCAGAGCCAGAAGGGCGCGAGTTTGGCACTTGAAACGCATTCAATTAACAGGAAATGTATCCAGCTTAATGGCCAGCTAAGTTCTATCAATGTGCAATCAAATGGAAGAAAGAAATAGACGTGATTGCAAATATGCTAAGGATGTGGAGACGGGGCTTGCCCTTGGGGAAGGTTGAGTACGAAAACAATTGGAATTCAGCTAACTAAGGTAATATACATGCATATAATATCAAGTATATATCTGCAGTTTAAGTTCAGCATGAAAGTAAAAGTTTTACAGAAGCCGAGCCTGCGCGAAAGTTGTCGAAGGAGTTGGACAGCGAAATTTCAATACACTTTTCCTGGACTGAAGAACAAAGACTATTGTTATGTTAGCCGGTAAAACCCCTGTTAGAAAGCCTGGAAAAAACCTACCTCTCAGATGGTCTTTGAGGAAATGAATCTAATGAGCTACATTGGCTAGAATCCGACGGACATACCCGATAGATCCATTCCATTTCGAGCTAGAATCTAGTTATTATATTAATCATATAAATAACTTGTACAACTTTGTAGAACTCATTACACTATTATCCAAACCGTAGCTTCTGCCACCGTTACCCACAATTGCTCGAATTTTCGATACCCCAGCTAATGGTTACAGTACAAGCTTCAAACTCACTTTTAGTTAACAACAAAGTTTTGCCTGCTCTGGCTACCCTCTCGAACGGTACATTTGCTATTCAATCTGAAGCTGAAGGAGTATAATTCGAAGTCTAGATTTCAATTAATACATCAACGATTCACTCTCTGTAACACTCACTCCATTTATTTGCCTTTGTTCTTCAAGCAATCTACGAATTGTATCTCTAGCTCCAGCTCCAACTCCAACTCCAACTCCAGCTTCGGTTGTAGCTCTAACTGGTTATAGACCAACTACCCCTGAGTAGATGAAGTAGAATAACGAACCGCAAATTCTAGGGCGCAACTTTTTCATTACCCGTGGCGCGTCCTTCCTTCCTCTTCCACGCTATACACACACACACACACAACTCTATCATTAAAACTTAAATGACCTTCCTGTCGACAGGCGACGATGAGGACAACGAGGACGATGGCGCCGACTTTTACGACGATTCAGTTTTTTTTTTTGGTTGCTTCAAACTTTGACTTGTGATATCACACTTAGAGCAAGCAAGCAGCCATCCATCCTTCATTCATTCACTCATTCATTCATTCGTTCAATTTCGCACCCTCTGGCAGCTGCTTATGACATTCTATTACCGGCCTGCTGTTATATATAACTATGTACAGCTGTATCTAGATGCGCATTAAATGCTTTCTATTTAATGAGTTCTCTACGCTTGGCTGCTGTGCGGAAGTCCTTCGGAAGGACCTGCTCTGGCTGGCTCTGCTTGGCTTGACTCTGCTTCTGCTTCGGCTCTTGCCGAAATTTACATGTTAGTGCTTTCTTTATGGATACTATTTATGGGTTACCGAAGCGTCTTTCATGCCACTTTAATTGCCAGCAATAGCAGATCTTTGACCAGAGGCGGACAGAGGGCTCACCGGAGGGGGCAGCTAGGACTCAACATATGTCTGACCTAATGGTGGGTTTCTGGGCTTATACAACTCATTTATCATGTGTCAAAATGTTTAACTAAATGGCACTTTGCCGAAAAAACTTTCGGATTGGGCAGCCCGATGGCTCCTTGGCTCGTTGGCTCGTTGGCTCGGTGGTTCGTTGGCTCAGTGGTTACGGGTACGGTTGGTCGGCTTCAGTCGGCTTCAGTGTTTGCTAAGTAGTTACTTTTAATAGTTGTAGCTGGCTATACAACATAAATAACTCTTGTCTTGTCCACGCCCACGCCCATGTACACGTCCACACTGCCTGTCGGGCCCAAGTGCTAACAATCTCTGAGATACATTTTGGTTGCCTGCGTGATGAATGAGCCACCCGAAAAGCCGAACGAACGTAATTATATGCAGGCAGCAAATGCCTCTTCACATGAAGATGACCGCAGAATGTCTTAATCGGGCGTGTTTTACTCGTATCCTCCTCCGACTCTCGAGCCCTGCCATCTTTCCCCTGCCCCTAATCCAAATATATCAAATGCTCTTAAATTCAACGAGCAAAAGGTTTCAAATAACTTCCGAATTAATGGGCTTGAGGTTTTTCTCCACATTAAAAAGAGATTTAAGTACAGACTTAAAACTTGAATCTCAATTAGGTATAGATTAAATTAGGGTGGTATAAATTTTAGATGATCGTGGATTTGCAAGACTCCCCTGAGCCTATTATTCTGCAGGTAGATATGGATACCCCAATCATATTAACTTTATTTTTAATTTTCAAAAGATAAAGTTCTTTGCTATGAGACAAGGCCTTAAGCTTCCTTTAGATAGATATTTTACCGTACTCAAAGAATTGTTGTAAGCAAGTCTTTTAGCAGAAAAATTCGGACAACATTTATATTCCAACTATAACATAATTTTGCTCTTTTTAAAATTGTTTACAAACAGTTTTTAAAATTGCAATATTTCCATAATGTATTAATATTTATTGGTAAAAATATCTTAACGTCATCGCTGAGCCATTAACTCTATTATATAATTAACATGAGAATAATAACAGGCTTTTAACATCGTCTCAAATTAACGACCTATAAAGTCAAGCTTAAATTTTTAATTGATTTAATCCTGAATTTATTGAACAACGGAAATTTTGTTTATAAATTAATATAATTAATAGAGCGGTTATTCTTTCATATATAAATGTTTAGCTTATATTTTATATTTTATCTTGCTATTATATATGCCTTTATAATTATACTGGTTCATACTATATGTATATGATTTAGTTAATTTTGCAAATATCTAAAAATAAACATGAGCATTTACAACTGATTGCATCTGCATGTCAATTTTGCCAACATCAAGTTAGTCAGCGACAAATGCAATTGAGGCGGATATGGCAAATCGTGAATGTTTTTGCATTGAGAGGGCAACCTTCAGAACGCGAAATCAGTGCAAAAAGCTAATTAGAGAAAAGCTCAAGTGGTTGCAATGGATATCGATATCGGTATCGGACGTAGGGGCAGAGCCAGAGCCAGAGCCAGAGGCAGAGGCACAGCTGTTAGCTGTCTATGGGTATCATGTTTATCAGATGTGCAGCCATTCGAATGCACTTCCTTTGAGCGCAGTTCGTAGAGTACGATTTCCCGTTAGTGCGGAGCGGAGCAGTAGCAGAGTGCGAAATGCAAGTGCAGCAGAGATACGCATCAGTTGCACAAACTAAATAAGTAAATAAATAAACGTTCACTCAAGCGGCTGTACGAATTGCAATTGCAATTCCAATTGGAGAATTGTTGCTCACTCCAGTTGGCACGGTGGGGCATGCGGGCCATAAGGAAGTGCACTTTAAACAGCTGCGTGGCTTATCCAATTGAATTGGCTGGGCGCGATAAACGATAAACGATAGACGCTGCATAATTGAAATAAACAAAAACAAACACAGCCAGCAGCAGGCAGACAGCAGGCGAACCGATGTTCTCGATGATGATGATGATGATGATGATGACAGAGGCATCGACAACAGCGTGGACGACGACGACAACGACGACGACGTCGTTAGCGACGTTCAAGTGACGTTGAAATTGAATAAAAATAAAAATATGTATTGCACAGTCAACGTCAACAGCAATTTCAACTAAAGTGCACGCAACAACAAATAGCAAAAAAAAAAAAAACACGCCGAAGAATAAGAAGGAGAGCGACCACGACAATAGCGGCGACAACAACACCTCCAAAGTTGATTGATAAAAACTGTTCAGCTGTGTATAGAGTGGCTGGCAAGAAGAAGAGAACAAGCAAAGGGGCCGAGGGGAGCGAGAGATAGATGCAAGCGACTGGCGTATCGAGTTGCTTCTCTAATGTGACAGCTCAATGCAATTTAGTTGGCAATGACAACAAGCAATAACAGCAACAGCAACAGCAAAAGCAACAGCAACAGCAACAGGAACAACGGCAACTCATTCTATTACGTACAGTGGCTCACAGCAGAATGCACACGTCTGTAAATGTATAAAAATACATAGCAATTCAATCAATAATAAATATAAATAATAAATGTTTATTAATATTATTTCTAACATATTTAGTAATCTATTAAAAATATAATGTATGTACATTTTATGTATAGAATTATATATTATTTTCTATTTAAATTTTCATTACTCAAAGATTCACAGCATTAGAATACTTTTGCATTTTCTAGCTTCTCCACAAACGTTTATCGAGCACTGTATTCGTTTTACATACGCATATCACACACACATCTACACACTAAATACTTGCATTTTAAGGCAACCAAAGGACGTAAAAAGATTGTGAAAAAATCATAAAAATAATAAGGAAACAGAACTGACAAAGGCAACGATATGGGTGTTTGCGGATGTGTGTGTGTAGCGATTGCAACGGTAATGGCATCGCGCTGGAGAATCGTGGGGAATGAGGGAAGCGGAAAAAGGCAGGCAGCTAAACTGAAACTGTAACTGAAATGCTGCGCAAACAACTTTGAACGTCAATTTGTCAACTTGAAACGAAAATTGAATGCAAAGCTTTGCGCCACGACGCAACGCGTCGCTTACGTTGACAGCGACGCAAGCGCTGGCAGCGATGACAGCGAAGGTAGCGGTAGCAATAGCGACTGACGCGCAGTCAGAGCCAATTTCAGATTTAATTTTTGCTGGCGCACTCCGCGTTGCAGTCGCAGCATTTTCGTTGCTTTCACTGAGCGAGCGCCGGTTCATGTTGATGCTATGCGGTATTTCGATAGGGCACAGGAAGGGGATCGGGTTTGTTAAGTCAAGTCAAGTTAATGCCGTTATCGTAGGTGCGGCAAACATGTCGCTGCCACAGTCGACGGTAGCAGCGACTGAGGCAGTGGCAGAGGCAGAGACAGCGACAGCAACAGCGGCGCTTGATAATGAGCAGTTAAAGTAAGAAGCAGAAGCAGTCACGAAAGCTTCCGTAATGTTAAAATGCTGTGAGTATTAGAGGTGACATGAAGTAAAACAGCCAAAGAGAGAGAGTCAGACTGCGAGAGAGAGAGAGAGAGAGAGAGAGAGAGTGAATGCATTGCGAAATGCACAAGCTCTAACTCTGTTAATGCATGCCTTTGTGTCTCTGTGTTTGAGTTTGCCTTACGACGACAAAATTCGGCGAAACTTAAACCTGCACGTGTGAGGACTTGCATACCTAGGGCAGAAAGAGAAAGAGCGCAACACCATGTTAGGCAGAGAGGGAGAGCACAATTAAATGTCGTTCATCGATCGGAGCGGGACAACAAAGTTGTCAACTCAAAATGCAAAAACAAAGCTGCCTACGTGAGCGACGGCGACGCTGTCGATTTTGTCAGCTCCCTCGCCCCTGGCAATCGACAACTAAGCTAACGACCAGCCAGCCGGCCCCTTGATTAACAAAAACAACCAAATTTGCCGTGAAATGCAATTCCTTTTTTCTGATTCTTTTCTTTTTTGTTTCTTTTTCATTCTGCTGACTCGCAAAATTTGTTACCGTGTTGCGAAGCTTTTTGCGAATTTTGTTTTTGTTATTCAGCTTCGTCCAACTGCGGCGGAGGTGGCGGCGGCAACGATAACAACTTCTGAACGACGGCAACAAAATTTACAGCTGTAGCTGCCCGTTGCACAGTGGAGCAAAGGCAAAACACTTGAAAGCAATAGTAAGAAATTAAATTATTTTCATTAAATTGTAGATCTGCACCGACTCCGTACATCTATATCGTGTCATATATATTTCATTTACACACATACATATATACATACACATAATACGTAAGCATACACATACATACATATATACATTTGCTGAAATGCATATGTATTTAAATATACAATGTATGCTGTAGCCAACACTTTAACGAGCACACGCCACTAGCCTATCCAGCGTCATGGCCGCCACTTTGCTACACTTTGCTAGTCAGCTATTTTTTTGGCAGCCTTCGTCACATGCGCAGATGCGGGGCCCACTGTGCAACGTGTTGCCGTTGACGGTAGCGACAGCAGCAGCAGGCAGCAACAGCAGCAGCGATCGCCGCACGGGCGAAGCTGAACAGAAACGAGAAATGAAAATTACGATAAAGGCACCGAAATTCATATACACTATCACACACAGATAACAAGTTTGATTTGCAGATATTCAAGAGATTGAAAAATAAACAAGAGAGAAAACATAAGTTTTAACAGACGGAAATTGATAACAAATTTGTTCCGAACTTCAATATGCTGTGACACACGGTACGGCGAAGTTTGCAGACACAGAAAAAGAATGCCAGACAGATTCGCCTTCGCCTTCGCCGCATTCTAAGCTTTGGGTAAAGCTTATGATATAGCGGTAATGATCTGTGCTAAAAGTGCTAAAACCACAGCAGCAACGAGTATGGAAGGTGTTTGTAGCGGTGGGCGGGGGCGTGAGGCGAACACAAAACCAAGTGACGAACTTACGGCCAACAGCAGCAGCGGCAGCAGCAACAATAACAGCAGCAGCAGCAGCAACAATAACAACAACAGCAGCAACAACAACAACAGCAGCAACTGGCCCGTTTGGAGCAGCGCGCATGCCACACACAGTTTAAATATGTGAAATTAGTACAAATCGTGATTTCAACAGCGAACGACCGACGACGAACGACGAAGCGGCGAAAACAACAACGAACGTGTCGGGGGATCGTAACGTCAACGTCGAGTGGCAACACCAGCAGCAGCAACAGCAACGTCACGTCGCACGTATGTATTGCGGCAACAACAACATGCAATAAAACAGCTGATAGCAGCAACAAATAGAAAACCCAAAACAGTCAGCAACAGCAACAACAACTATAGCAATAACAATAACAACAACAACAAAGCGTCGCATTATCAAGCGAGCAACCAACAGGTCTCCGGGCAGAGCAGCCGCAACAACAACAGCTACAGCAGCAGCAGCAGCAGCAGCAGCTACGTCGAGTCGTTGAGTGAGCGAAAAAAAGCCCCCGCGTGCCGCTGCAACCAGCACACATACACGCACAGAGCCAGACACAGGCACACGTATAGACACATGCACACGTACACACTTGCGCACATGCTAGCCTGTACGTGTGCACACATCAACACAAACAGCAAACACAGAGTCGCGCACACCTTTGCGTTGATTTTGGACGAAACAACGACGCACAGTGGTACCGATAGCCAAAAGCGTGTGCGAGCAAAAGCTAATTCCACGTGGTAAACGAAATATGTATATTGGTTGGCTTTATTTATTCTATCTGATAAATATATAATGCTTGAAATTCTTATCTATAATAATATTATCATGTAACAGTTGTTCTATCAATATCGAATTTACCACATGTTATTTTATAGCTTAATATAATTAGTTAATTTATTTTCTATTATTTGATTTAATTCAAATAGTCAATTGAAGTAAAGTTCACAAGTAATTTGCATTTTGGTTAATTGCAATTAGGTCGTGTACCACTGTGCTTCGCACACTCGCGCGCTCTCTCGCACAAAGTGCAGCTGAGCTGCCGTTTGGCCGCCGCCGCCGCCACACTTGCCGCTGCCGATACTGCTTCTGCTGCTGCTGCTGCTGCTACGCTTCCTCTGCCACACAACCGCTAGCCGCGGCCGCCGCCGCCTCAGTCGAAAGTCAAAAGCAACGTGTTGTGGACGCTTATTTTTTACGTCGCGTTGCGTTTTGCGTTGCGTTGCGTTTACCTTCTTTGCTACCTTCCTCTCTCTCTCTCACACACACTCACACTGTCTCTCTCCGGCAGCCGCTTGCGCGCGCGCGCATCCATCCAACCCAGCCGAACCGTACCGAACCAGCACCATCCAACAAACCACCCACTGCACCACAACAACAGCAACACCAACAACAACGACAGCAACAGCAGCATCACCACTGGCTCCTTTAACCGTTAACTTTCTCCGCACGATGTCCAGCAGTGGCGCCAGCGCAGCGCAGTACAAACTTGACGCCAACTCCAATGCTATCGCTTTGATTGCTGCTGACGCCGCAGCGCTGCCGCCGTCACCGTCGCCGTCGACGCAGGCCTCGCCTGCGGATCGCATTGAATGGTCGCGCGCCACAATATTGGGCTTCATCGAGGATTATCGACGGCAGCGCGTGCTCTGGGACCCAAACACCAAAGGCTATCACATCAAGCAGACCAAATACGAGGCCCTCAAGCTGCTTAGCCAGAAATATAAGACAGAAATTCGCTCAATTCGCTCGAAAATCAAATCGCTGCGCTCCTCCTTCCATCGAGAGCACGGCAAGGTGATCAACGGACGCAGCCGAGGCGTTCACTATCAGCCCATGTGGTTTGCATATGAGGCAATTCGCTTCATTTTGGATGGGGAACGGGACGCCGACGCTTCTACCATGGACGGCGGTGTTGACGGTGACGTAGAACCGACTGCGTCGACAGCGCTGCTGGACTCGGAAGCAGCTGATAAACTGACGCTGATGCATAGCCTAGATTTGGAACAGCTGACAGCTGCTGCTGCGGGCAAGCAACAGGTTGAGCAGCACGAAGACTTCGCTGCCCGCGTCGCTGCCGCCGTTGCTGTTGTGGCTGCGGCCGCAGCCGCGGCGAACGTCAGAGAACGGGAACAAAATATGGAAGACGATGCAGCAGCCTCGGATGGCAATTCCAATGGATGTGCGGGCAATGGCAGCGGCAGCGACGCAACAGCATCATCAGCAACGGCCGCTGCAGCCGTCTCAGCTGCTGTGGTAAGCTCCTATCGCCTATTGCCTATTGCTTATTCCTTATTGATTTTACTTTGTTGTGCATATTATTTCTCATTTCTTATGTTCTATACACTACACTGTTTGTTAAGTTATATGCGTTGTGTCATTCACCACATTTTTGTACAGCAAACACACATGGATAACTGCACATACATCAGCATATATGTACATTTGAATATGCACACTACATGCATTTTAATTATAATAATTGTTGGTTATTTCATTCATAATTATGTTCTCATCGAGCTGTTAACATTTTCATTTGGTAGGGTATTTATTGGTGTGACTAAATGATTATTCTTGTTGTTTGTTGTTAACGTTCCGTTCCGGTGAAGCTTTTGCTTTTCATACGAGCGAGAACGAGCGTTAAACTGTAATAGTGTGTGTGTGCGCGTGTGTGTGTGCTTTTGCAAGTATGTGTGAGTGGTTTGACTTGTTTTGCGGCAGCAGCAGCAGCAGCAGCGCAGTACACGCGCCGTCGCTGCTGTCTCTGTGTCTAGCGGTTCGTCAGCAACAGCTACAAACTGTGGCGCACAGTGGCTTGAGCTTTTTAGTAAGACACGAAATTTCCGCACTTGTGCTTACACCGTTTATTTTCACTCCTTTTACTTACTAATTTGCCTTGCACTGGTGCTAGAACTGCTCGCAATGGCACACATTACAAATATTAATCAGGTGGCAACACTGTGGCGGCAATCTGCGCTGCAATCGCTGTTAAAAATTAAATGAATTTGCAATGTTATCGATATTATTGATTAATCAATTGATGCATTGTGCATTATCAATTTATCTCGTCAGAGCCCTTTGCAATAATTAACCATTGTTTGTCACTGTGGCGCTGGCGCTGCTATTGCGTCGCTTGAGCTTGATAAGCGACGTGTGTTGTGCAAGTGTGTGTCCGTGTGCGTGTGTGTGTCCTGTCTGTGTGTCAACTGGCTTTGATTTTCGCTGCTGCCGCCGTTGATGTCGTTGCTGCTGCTGCTACGTTAGCCATAGCCAGAGCCATATGTATGTGTGTTGCATCAGCCGTAGAAATCGGCAGCTACACGCTTTGCGTCGACCCTGCCCCTCAACAGCTGCGCACCACCCCGCCCACCCACAACCGCTGCGCTGGCAATGGACCCGCCTAAGCAGTATCAACAGCAACCAGCAGCAGCATCAGCAGCAGCAGCATTAGCTTCAATATAGCAAGTTGCTGCGCTGCGTTTTGCGTTTGTTTTTGTTTTTTGCTTTTTTCATTCGTTCGCTTCATCTGTCTATTCGTCTGCTTGTCTGGCCACTCGTTGGTCCACTTCAATGTTGAATTCGCCGCGTCGCTAGCCCCGTCTCGACGAACGCAACTAATTTAATCGCCGCTGGCTCTCGCGCTGCCATCTGTATGCAAAGGCTGTCTGTGTGAGCGCGCGTGTGTGTGTGTGAGTTTGACTGCTGCTCACATTTGTTTATTTATTTTTTATTACTATTCTAATTTGTTTTTCTCTTTGCTTTATGTTTTTTGTTGCTTCGCCTTCGTCTATTATCATTTAGTTTGTGCTGTTGCTGTTGTTGGTGTTATTATTATTTGTCTGACAAATTCTTTACACTGTCATTATTAATGTTGTATGTAGTTAGTTATCCGTCTTTTCATATTTCTCGCCTTTGCCAATTCTTGACGATTTGTTTTCTCTCCCTCTCTCTCTTTCGCAGACGCGTTCATCTTCCGATTTGGATGGCGAGAGCTATTGCAATATCAGTGCCGAAGATGTGAAGACAGAAATTGTAAGTATGAGTGCTTGAGCTTTTGATCTTTATTGCATTTCAATTGACTTAAAGAATGGGCATTCGAATACCCTGTAAAAGCTGAATTTCAGTGGGGTGTGGTTTGTAATGATGTAGAGTGCGTACGTTTCGTATGTATGTATAGCAATTTTATTTTGATAAGAAAAATTAATCCGTATAAGGTAATCATATAGAATATTTTGTATGAAAAGAAAGCGAATATTTTTATAGCAGTTATGTTCATTTCGGTATATGTACTTACTGTTTAGATAGAGTATGTATGTACATATGTGCATATATACATATGCTTAACAGTCTGTACACCCTATAGAATATTTGAAAATTTCCATGAAAAACAAATAATCTTGGGGTATATTATATATTATAATCCCTCATTCCACAAGTTAAGAACTTACTAACCACTGTTCAACCTTTGTTTCTCTGTTCGTCTCTTCACATTCTTCTTCTTCCTCTTCTGCTTCTATATTTCATCGCTTGCAGATCGAGCACGAACCAGAGCTGGGCATGCTCGATAGGCAGACGAGCACGCCGCTCTCTCTCTCCGCGAGCTACTACAAACCCACGGATCTGACATATAATCCGCGCAAGCGTAAAGCGCAAATGGATGAGCTCGATGGCTGTGATGTCAGCGCTGGCGTGGGCGTTGGCATTGTTGGGGGCGTGGTTGGGGCATTAACTCTGACGCCCATCAAGTCGACGGGGCAGACGACAGTGCTGCAGCAACAGCAACACCAACATCAGCAGCAGCAGCAGCAACAACAACAACTACAGCATCAGCAACATCCACACAATCAGATCGCATTTCATACGCTGCAGCAACACTTTAGCCACAATCTCAGCCATGGCAACCACAATGGCAATGGGCATGCACAACCGCAGCAGCTACAACAACAACAGCAGCAGCAGCAGCAACAACAACAACTACATTCCAATAACATGGCACAAAAACGTGATCGTGGTCGTGATCTCTCCTGCTCGCCAACTCTGGCCAACAACAACAACAACAACAACAGCAACAGCAGCAACAATAACACTAACAACAACACTAATAACAACAACAACAACAACAACAGCAATAACAGCAACTCCTTAGATCTGGCCACAACTGGCAGCAGCGGCATATCCAGCCTGACTGCCACGCCCCTCAAAATGAGCAGCGGCAGCAGCCTGGCCGGCAACAGCCATGTGGATGAATACGGGGTGTTTGGTGAGTACGTGGCCATCACCATAAGAAAACTGAAGACGCCCAAGTCGAAGATAGTCGTAAAGCATCTGATCAACAATTTGCTATACGAAGCGGAGCTGGGCAACTATGATCAGGGGATGCCGGCCTCCAAGGAGCCGCCGCAGCTCTACAAAATGCAATAGCTAAGGGCAGGCGGAGTGGGAGTGGGAGTGGGAGTGGGCGAGCAGTCAAAAGTCCGGCAACCTGTAGTTAAGCAAGAGGGAAAGAGACAGAGAGGAGAAGGAGAAAACGCACTAGTCAGCAAATAAGAGCAACAAGAGCCAACAAATTCTAAGCGTAGTTTAGGGGCGGGTTATTATTTTTTGATAAAAATAAATAAGCCAGGCGCATTTCATTCAGGGACAAAGACCATTTAAGTACTTTTATATGAAACACATAAAAATAATAAATACATAGAGCTGTACATACATATGTAATATACTATATAGAGATGCATATCAGCGTTTAGTCAATCAAAACAGTCAGTTGCAAATACAAACATACAAACGTATGTACAATACATACATATATAGAGTCAACATACCGTTAATTAAAATGAATTCAATAATTTACAATTTACCTTATTATTTTTCTGAATATATTCACATACAAATACATACATATATGTATATCTTAATGTGTATATATATTTAATTTTTTATTATTTTTATTTTTATTTGTTTACCTTATTTACATTTGGCAATAACACTTTGAACTCAGGTGCCTTTATTTTGTAGTCAATTAAGAGTTGTTATCTTATGCATTAATGAATCGATATACATACATATATAACATATGCATATATACATACATATGTTTGATGTGCATATACTTTAAGTGCCCATGTTGAATCAGCAACAAAAAACTGTAAACTTAATTCAAATGTTTTGTGAAACACATGCTATAAATATATACTATATATACATATATGTATACTTACACATGTTTCCGAACTTAAAGTGCTCTGTACATAAAATTAAAAACATTTATTGAATATGAATATATATGCAAATATA